GCTCCTCGTTGAGATGTCATCCCCAGCTCCCATCCTCCTGCAAGGTACCACTATGTGCCGTTACATACCATTCCTCCACTTAGCTTGGAGCTACAAAGTTAGTTAATTAAAGCTGCATAAACTCTTAGAAATGTGTCCCCATTAGGGATTTTTCACTGGTTTAGCTAACTTGTTTTTTAAACAAAACGTGAGATGGGTTTGTATTGAGCTGTTCAGGCAAAACCCTGACCTAAGGAAGGAGGTTGGCACCTGCAAGGACATGGCTGGACCTTTGTAGGGCTGAGAATAGGGGCCTGAAAGGGGAGCCTAGAGAGGTATCCTGTATTTCTCTTGTGCCCTGAGGGCTTGGGTGCTGATGAATCAGATGTCAACATTTTGCAAGAGGGTAGCTGCTTTGAATTCCTACCTGATGTGGATGAGTGATTTCTGAGGGAGCAGAGCAGCAGAATGACTAGAAAACATAGGAATTGCTGGTTTGCTTTGAACTATAGGTTACTGTATATTGTATTGAAGTTTTCTCCCTTTTTTTAAGGAGTATGTGTTAATTACACTGAGTTCCAGTTGCACTGAACAACCTTTCCCAGTTTGGTGAGCATGGGATGACCGCTGGCGTGGGCCAGTGCACGGCAGCACAAATGGCACGGCAGAGGGAATCGGTTAACCTGGAACTGCTGAAACTATTCCTGCAGCCGAATGTCCCTCAAGCTCCCCTTCTGGAGACTGCCGGCCACCCTGCATTGTGGCTGAGAGAAGTGTCTGTCTGCTCCTGAACATTAGTTAAGATTTATTTCGTGCCATCACGCAAGCTGAAGATGGCAATAATTTCTGTGGGGAGCTGCAGCCGGACTTTCCTCGTCCTGCGATGGCATCCTTGCTTGTATTTGGGGATGGTGACTGCTCTTGGACATATCCATCTCTCTCTGTTGTTGCATTTGAGTCAATGTTTAAGAGAATTTCATGAGCTAAAACAGGCAGGACTGGCAGTGCAATGAGGTATGTTATCAAGATTGGATAGACAACATACTTCCAGTTGAGTCTGTCCTCCTACATATGTACCTTCACCAGGAAGTTTAGGGGTTTCCCCATGTTCTTTGTACCTCCTGAGAAGTGGGAAAAGCAGTGCCTCTG